CTGGCCCAGCTCGGGCGGGCCTGGGAGAGCCACCACAGCCAGTTCGAGGAGTCAGGTGAGGCTGGCAGACCCTGCCGAGCATCTCCTTCCCTTTGAGAGCAGCCCAGGCTGGGTGCTGCTCTTCTCACCATGAAGAGCTCGGGGGGAGGGAGGTTGCTTTCAGCTCCACCTTTACTGCCTGCTCTCCAGAGTTCCTGATGCCATCTCCTTCTCCCCACAGAGGAGTTTCAGGCCCTGGTGAAAAGACTCCCCACGGACCGTTTCCTGAACAGGACAGCCATCTCCCACTTCTGGAGCATGGATCTGGATGTCCAGCACCGCTACCAGCAGCTGGGCACCAGCCTGAAGCTGCTCTCCAGGAAAACCTTCCGGCTCATCCGGCGCCTCTTCAACCTCAGCAAGCGCTGCCACCGCCAGCCGCGCTTCAAGCTGCCCAAGGAGAGGTAGGGTGCCCCGGCAGCCTTGCTGGGACACTGCCCCGTGCCCCAGGGGTGGGGCACTGCCCGGGGATAACCCCCTGTGGCTGCAAGTGGAGAAGCTCCCACTGAGGAGGGGGTGAGCAGGCAGCAGGAGCGGCTGTACCAGCCTGGAATGTGGCCCTGAGAGATCAGGTGCAGACCTGAAGGTGGAAAATGGGTTCATGGGAGGGCCACCAGCAGAGCAGGAAACCAACACGAGGTGGGCAGCTGTTCCATCCTTAGGGAAAGCCAGTCACATCCCAAAAGATGCCATCTAAGCCTCTCTTCTGTGTTTCTGTGCACCAGGTCCCTCCCTTACTGGTGGAGCCGTGCACAGTCTCTGCTGTACTGCAGCGAGACCACCGTGCCTGGGACCTTCCTGGAAGAAAGCCACAGCTGCACCTGTCCCTCAGAGCAGCCCTCCTGCCAGGGCTCCATCCCGTGTGCCTTGGGCGAGGGGCCAGCCTGTGCCAGCTGTGACCAGGACAACAGCACCCGCTGCGGGAGCTGCCACCACGGCTACGCGCTCACCCAGGGCTTCTGCCGCCCCGAGGTGGCCGACTCCCTGGAGCAGTACCTGGGGCTGGAGACGGACCTGCAGGACCTGGAGCTCAAGTACCTGCTGCAGAAGCGGGACAGCCGCATCGAGGTGCACTCCATCTTCATCAGCAACGACATGCGCCTGGGCAGCTGGTTCGACCCCTCCTGGAGGAAGCGCATGCTCCTCACCCTCAAGAGCAACAAGTACAAGCCCGGGCTGGTTCACATCATGCTGGCCCTGTCTCTGCAGATCTGCCTCACCAAGAACAGCACCCTGGAGCCCGTCATGGCCATCTATGTTAACCCCTTTGGGGGAAGCCACTCAGAGAGCTGGTTCATGCCTGTCAACGAGGGCAGCTTCCCAGACTGGGAAAGGACTACCGTAGATGCCTCTGCCCAGTGCCAAAACTGGACCATCACCTTGGGCAACAAGAGGAAGACCTTCTTTGAGACGGTGCACGTCTACCTGCGGAGCCGCATCAAGTCTCTGGATGACAGCTCCAACGAGACAATCTACTATGAGCCCTTGGAGATGTCAGATCCCTCCAAGAACCTGGGCTACATGAAAATCAACAGCTTGCAAGTCTTTGGCTACAGCCTGCCCTTTGAGCCGGACGCTATCCGTGACCTGATCCTCCAGCTGGACTACCCCTACACGCAGGGCTCCCAGGACTCAGCCATGCTGCAGCTGCTGGAGATCAGGGACAGGGTGAACAGGCTCTCGCCCCCTGGCAAAATCCGCCTCGACCTCTTCACTTGCTTGCTCCGGCACCGGCTCAAGCTGGCCAACAACGAGGTGGCGAGGATCCAGTCCTCCCTGAGGGCCTTCAACGCCAAGCTGCCCAACACCCTGGAGCAGGAGACGGGCAAGCTGTGCAGCTAACACAGCTGGCAGCGCTCACACCTCGGCCAGGGGCTGCCAGGACAGACTGCCTGGGGAGGAGAGAGAAAGAACCACCCTAAAAATTGAAATCAAGGCCTTACCTTAGTGCCAACTGCGTGCTTCCATGGTACACCCAGCATCTGGCCAAAGAGACACAGGGCTCGGGCGGATGGAGAATGCCAGTGGGACTGAGGAGGAGGAATGGCTCATGGCATTGTGAACTGGCTCCAAGTGTGGGAACAATGCCACTGTGGCTGGGGAGGTGTGCCAGCAGCCCAGGGGGTGTGGCTTGCCCTGAGGCAGCTGCTGGTCCCACCAGAGCAGGTGCTTAACCCACCCTAAGGATCCCCCAGCAGCGGCCTCCTTGCCACCCCAACTTTTGTAGTCTTTTTAAGAGGTTTCTACTGGCACCTTTGCATCCCCCACCATCCATCCTGCAGCCGTGGCCTCGCACACGGTGCTGCTGGGGGCCCACAGCACAGGCCCTGCAGACCCTGCAGGTCTCCCCTGCGGCCTCTCCACGAGCACCCCGTGTCTGCTGCCGTGCCGAGGCACCGTCTCACCCCTTGCCTGGAAGGACCTGGCACCTGCCCAGGGATGCTGCCATCACAGACACCCTCTTTTGGTGTGGCACAAAAAACCTGTGGGCCAAGGTTGCCTACAAAACAGAAAAACCAACAAAAAAACCCCCACCCTAATGCAAAAGAAAGAAAAAGAAAATGTTTTATTTATGTATTTATTTATTTGGTTTGTTTGGGACAGGTTTTTTTAAGCCTATTCAGTTGGGGAGTGTCATTTCTTGTCAGTGGCTTCAGCCAAGAGACATCTTAGTAAAATGTATCTGTTTAATATATTTTTTAAAAAATGCCTTTTTTGAGCAAAAGAGCAACCAAAACCAACTGAGATTAAAAAAAAAAAAAAAAAAAAGAAAGAAAAGAACAGAACAGTTACTGTCATCCCTAGCCCTGGCTTTCCCCGTGCTGTGTGGCTCCCCTCCCTCCC